TGGGCAGTCTGCGCCCTCGGGCAAATCTGCGCCAACTCTCGGGGGAGTCGAGAGGGGCGGGAGGGGCAGCCGACGAGAGCAGGCCGCTCGGGCCGTGACCCACGGCCCCTCGGGTGTCCCTCTCGCTCCCTCTCCCCTCGGCTCCCTCTTGCCCCGTCTCTCCCTCGGGAAGCTATTCGTGGAAACTACTCGGAAACGACACGGCCGCACCGGCAGCTGGCATGCCAGGCCGCGGCGGCGGCGGTCCGCCGTTGGGCGCTCCGCCGGGCGGAGGCGGGCGGCCCGGCTGCATCATCAGCGGCTGCTGCGGCGCCTGCGCGCGCGACGGAGGCACGCCCGACCCCGCAGGTCCGGGCGGCCCCGGAGGCCGGAGGCCGCGAGGCGTTCCTCCGACCAACGGCGCGGCGGCGCCCATCCCGGGCAGAGGTCGGGCGGGCGGCGCAGCGCCGTTGGGCGGCGCACCGGGCCGCATCGGCGCGCCCGGCCGAGCCACCTGCGGGCTGCCCCCGGCTCGCGGCGGCGGCGGCCGCGCCGCCTGTCCCGGCATCGAAGGCGGCGCCGGCCGAGGCATCATCGGCGCGCCGGGCCGTGGCGGCGGCCGCGGCGCACCCGGCCGCGGGCCGCCCGGCGGCATGCCTGGCGCCGGGCGTCCCGGAGGCGCGGCGCCGTTTGGCGGCGCCGGCCTCTGCATCGGTGCCGATGGCCCCGGGCCCGGCCGCACTCCATTCGGCGGAGCGCCGGGCGGAAGAGCGCCCGGCCGCGGCTGCATGGCACCAGGCCGGGCCGGCATCATCGGCGCACCGGGCCGAGGCGCGCCAGGCCGAGGCGGGCCGCCAGGTGGAGGAGCTCGCTGCATGGATGCGAAGAGTTGCCCTTCGCTCCGCGCTGCCAGCGCACCCAGGACTTGCGGAAAAGAATTAAAACTCCTGTGTATGCGGTTCTTACGAACATACCCGAGGGTGAACTGCTGACCCGGGGTTGTGCGTTTACAGACATTTTAAGTTCGTTGTTTGTTGCGTTTACGTGAACTGCTGACGGGGTTTGCGATGAGTATCGACTCGAAGGGTTTCTAAGTTGTAGCTAGCCGCCGGTGGTTTCTTTCTGGCACGGACGTAGGAGCAAAGTCTCATCCTTTTCTCCCAGTACGTACAGCTAGAGAGAAAAGCCAACAACATACCCAACAGCTAAAAGTACGTACGTCAAAAGCGATTTCGAAACTTACGCGCGTCCTCCCTTTGGCCGGGTCTCGCCATCTCAGGTGAGGCACTCCCTGCCACGATGGCGTGCTCTGACTACCGCATCGACGTGAGTGCCGTCTCCTTTGGCCTGTGCCGCTGCGGCTTCCCGAAGCGTGCGCACAGCTTTGCCAACGCCGGCGAGGGCCGACCGCTTGATAGGGCAAACGTGTACGACATTGCCTCGCGGAACGCAATCACATCGCCCGCACCTAGCGTGCGCGCGGAGGAGGAAGAATCGGAGGAGGGCTGGGAGGACGAGGAGGCGAGGCTGGTGGCGGCAGAGGAGGCGAGGCGGCAAGCAGAACAGGAGGCGAGGCGAGAGGCAGAGGAGCGGAGGAGGAGGGGAGCCGAGGAGCGGGCAAGGGCAGAGGCGCAGGAGATGTTGGTGAGGCGAGGGGCGGAGGCACTGGTAAGGAGCGAAGCCGAGGCCCTGCAGGCGCGGCCGGGAGAGCCCGCGAGGGAGAGGGAAGACACGGTCAAGAGCTGCTCTTCACGACGCACCAGGCCCGGCCACGACGCCACATAATCGGCACGCGGCGCTTTCAACCGAAAGCGACCCCTCCATAAGGCGCGAAAGGCGGAGGAGACACGCGCGAGGAGATCGATCGAGTGGGAGGAGCAGACGTTGAGGGAGGCGGAGCTGTCGAGTCGACGGGTGCTCACCGCGCGGCCACCCGGCACCGCTGCTTCTATCGCACGCCTCTCTCGCCGCCAACGGGCCGTGTCCCGGACGCAGGCGGAAGAGGAGGCTAAGAGGGCGGCGGCGGAGGCGGTGCGTCGGGAGGCGGAGGAGATGGCTCAGCGGGTCGTGGCCGAGTTGGCGGCCGAGGAGGAGGCGAGGAGAGGCACTCTGCGCTCGAATCAAAATTCAAATCCCCGTCCACCACCTCCACTCCTTCAAACCCCACTCCCCGTCCTTCCTCGCCCTCCCCCCAATCCCTGCAAGGTCTCCCGCTCTCAACAGCCCCCCGGCTTGCTGCAGGAGCGGAAAGCTCGGCGAGGCTGGAGCGGGAGGGGGACATGAGGAGGGAGGCGGCGGAGATGGCGAGGGCGGCGGCAGAGGAGGAGAGCCGCAGGGAGGTGGCGGAGAGGCTCCTCCGGGACGGCCCCGGCGTGCCTCACCCCCCCGCCAGGTGGAGAAGTGGAGGGCATACCGTCGGCGTGATGGGACAGGGATGGGCCCCGAGGCGGAGAGACCTCGTGGCCGTAGGTGGCGCTCCCGCCACTTGCCCCTCTCGATCGAGGAGTCGCCGTTGCTGCGCCCGCCCCGCGGCCGCTGGCAAGAATGTATTCCCCGGCGCCCATTGCGCCGTGCGCCGGCGCGCCCTGTGCCCCCACCGACGGCCAGAGTGCTCGCGCAGGTGCCTGCCACGAGCTGCCGTCCCGCGTGGGCAGCAGACCAGAACCTCCGCCAGCGGCAGGGACTCCATCAGCGGCATCCCGACGGACGCACCGGGCGGCAGGCGAAGGCCTCCGGCATGCTTCCACTATCCGGCGCCACACTATGTGGCGGCGCGCCGCCGCGAGACGGGCTACACAGGCGGCCAACCCGCGAGGGCCCGGTGCGCCACACCGACGGGGTGAGCGGGTGACAGATTGTGGATTTAAGGCAATTTTTTCATTCCTGTGGAATCTGAGCTGTGAGCTGTGAAGGTCGGCCCGCATTTTGTGTACCGAGACGGTGCCCGGTCCCGAGTCAGTCGTGCCCGGAGCTTCGCGTACCCGGAGCGTGTCAGACGCCACAATACCCGGGTAGCGCGCCGTGCACCTCACCGAATCCGCCAGAGCCAGGCTGCGAGACGCAGCCGAGGGTTGGGAGGACGGCACTCCGTGAAACCACCGCACACAGAGCAAGTGTTGCATGCGGATCCTGTCGTCGCTAATCCTGCTCCTCTCGGGAATCGCCGGCGGCGGTTCCCAGGCGCAGCCCGTGCCCACGGAGCCGCCTACTGTCGCCCGCCCAGCCGCGCGGCGGCTTTCCGTTTCCTGGCTGTCAGCGGCTGGTGGCTGCATTGCTCACGGCGGCAACGCCGGCTCGTACGTCGACAGCTGGCACATGGACCCGACTGTGTGCCAGTTCGAGTGCGCCGCGGAGCCTGGTTGCTTTGGCGTGCAGGAGTCGGACCACAGCCGAGGGCATCGCTGCCGAAAGATGCTATCGCAGCCAACTGGCGCAATTCCCCTCGGCGGTGCATCCTGCTTCGTCAAGGACACCGCGGAGACGCGCCGCGTGTGGAGGGGCCGCATCGAGATTGTAGCGCCGCCGGCGGCATCGCCGGCGGCATCGCCGTCTGCGTCGGCTGGAGGGTGCGCGCTATCGCAAAACATGATCCAGGGCAGCTTCGCGTCCTGCTACTTCGAGCTCAAGACGATGGACAACATCGACATGACGGTGCGCTCTCATCGTCTCTCGCTCCGTCGTCGCTGCTCGCGAGTCAAAGACGTGTCCTCCTATAGGGCGCCGACCTTGGCCGCGCGGTCTTCTCCTTCGCGACGGTGCGCTATCTTCTCGCCGAGGGCACCGTCTTCACAAACGCCTTCTTCGAGGGGGCAAAGGCGTCTGGAGGCCGCTTCGCGCGCGCCGACTTCACGGGAGCGCAGTGCAAGGGCGCCGACTTTAGCGACAGCGCCTTCACCGAGGCGACGCTGACCGGCGCGTTGCTCGTCGAGGCGAACTTCAAAGGCTGCGTGATGAGCAAGGCGCGACGCGCCTTGCCGCCTGAGCGCGGCGCGGAAATGGCACTCTCTCCGCTCTTAGAGTCGGCCTCTCCCAGTCCTGTGAGTGCTCCTGTGGGTAGTGCGCATGGGGCTGCTGACATTGGGTTTGCCCTCCTACCACCGCCACCAGTTGACCGCCTGCCCGCTCGGCGAGAACTCGTCTGCAGGCGACGCTAAAGAACGCCGATGCGTCCAACGGCAACTTTAGAGGCGTCGACTTCTCCGGCGGCAACATTCGGGGCGTCAAGTTCGAGCACAGCGACCTGAGGGGCGCCAGCTTCTTCGAGGCCGACCTCACGGGTCCTCCACCTTCGAGCTGCCGCGGTAGAAGATTAACAACGTGTAACACAAATCAAGATGTGTACAATTATAGGCGCCTCCTTCAAGGATGCCGAACTGCGGGGCGTCACCTGGGATCGCGCCAAGGGCCTCGACACCGTCGACTTTGTCGGCGCGGTGGCTGCGCCCGACTTGACCAAGATGGCCGCCAAGCATTGCTCCGGCACTGTGCTCAACGGCGTCTGTGTGTGATTGGGACACTGTCTGTGGCGAGAGCCGAGGCGCGAGATTGGGCGCGGAGCGATCAGCGCGTCCAACGAGGTTGTGCACGGCGGGGGGAAGGGGGGGGGGGGGGCTGAGGCTGTCGGACACGCCAGCGCCTACGTCGTCCTGCCCCAAGCTACAGAGGATGGCGCCACGCCGCTGTTCATGGCGTGCCAGGAGGGCCACCGCTGTTCATGGGGTCCTCTGCCGCCTGGGGCAGGATGACGTAGGGGTGTACAATCTCGTTGGACGCGCGGATCGCTCCGCGCTTAATCGCGCGGCGCGGATCTCGGTAGAGAGAGTGTTTCAATAACACACAGACGATCG